AAACCTTGGGAGTATACACTCTGGAATTATAGACCTACCAGAAGGGTCTTTTAAATTTTTCACATAAGTTATTTATAGTGCCTAAAATACTCCTATAGTATTTTAATGTAATGAACTTGGTATGTTTTAAACTTGTTGTCTTATAGTATCATAAAATACTCCTATAGTATTTTAACTTTAAGTTCTGATCTAGAAATCCCTTGTGTATAGAGTTAGGTAAGTTTTAAGACTGTTGCAACACCACATCACTTCCAAACACATGTCGGTCATATCTCAAATGAATATAGTTGATCAGGCTATATTGATCCCAGATATGATTACATAACTGTCCAGGTTTGACCGTAGTGTCCAACCTTTAAATACTTATATGCTGTTCTTCTTGTGATACTTGTTGTAGTATGTATATATGTATTAAGGTATGTATACTTTTATAAGAATATTGTTATATTTTAAAATATACTTTTAGTCAGAGCACTTCGGCCCCATTGCATTTATAGTTGTATATCTTTTATATGTTGATATACTTAGTTCACTATAAACAATGCTCTGATACCAATCTGTCACACTCCCAAACCGGAACGGCGGAAACGTTCGGGGGCGGAGGACGTCATGTTTAGTATCACAACACATGCATCATAGTAATCAAAGTAACAAACAACCATTGCATTAATATTAAAGTGTTTACAAGGTATTAGATTCACAAAAGGTTGACTCCAAAGTAAATAACAAAACAAGACGTGAAGCTACTATGCTCCATCTTCTGAATCCCTGAGCGCGTACCTGTCTACTATTTCCCTGAGAATACAAGTTATTTTGAAAGCGTAGATCAGCATTTAAGCTGGTGAGTTCATAAGTATTTTAGTGATGTAAAGTAAGTTGTAAGTTCTTTTAGAAAAGTTCGCCTGTTCCTCCAGAAAATCCTATATCTTCTGATGTAATGAAAGATAAGAAAAATGACTCTACAATTCCTTCTATGAGTACTAAATGGATACAAGTTATATACAATCCAGATCAAACAGACAATCGATTGTGTGAATCTGCCCTAAGCCCACAACCAAACAAGGAACAGGAAATGAGGCGGAAAGCACACATCCCATTGTTTGTTAGATCTTCATTGTATATAACCCTGGCGTATTCATTTGGTACTTACGGAGTTAACTGTGATAGTTCCTTTATATTTGATGAAAACATTCTTTAAGAAAAACCTATATTTCCTTTAGTAAAATGGTAACCACAATAGTTCCTTCTATAATCACTAAGTTTATACTAGCTATATATAATCTAATATCGAACGGACAATTAATTGTGTGAATCTGCCCTAAGCCCACAACCAAACAAGGAATAGGAAATGAGGCGGAAAACACACATCCAATTGCCTGTCGGGTATTAATTATATATAACCCCGATGTATAAACTAAGGTATTATAAAATTTACTACCAAAGGTCCTTTAATTTATACTGGTTTACTAAGAAGTATTAAACCCCTTTAATAAATAAGTTTCTAGTTTCACTAACTTAATTGTGAAACGTTGTTTTTGGTAAAACGCTATTGTTTTCAGAAAGTACAATAAAAAATGTTTACCTTAAAAGAGTGATGTTTACCATAGAAAATCCTATATTTCCTATAAAAACCGACCAGATGTCCATGTTGTTCTAAGTTTGAAAAGCACAAGTATACTCCCTATACTTACTATAATGATGTATAGTTTTGTTGATATGTTAAACTGAATGAAGACTTGGTTGTTATGGATACCTGATACGATGATACTACCCTCCTATGATTACCTAATACATACGAGTTGCATATAACCGAGATCGAATAGGCAGTTGACTGGATGAATCTGCCCTAAGCCCACAACCAAACAAGGAACAGGAAATGAGGCGGAAGTCACACATTCCACTGTCTATCGGACTTCAGTTCTATCTAACCCTAAAGTATACATCGGGTAATCACATAGTTAGTGTCCTTTGATATTTGTTCATGAAAAGTTTATTACTACGTAAATATATCGTTGTTATCTATTTGTGAGTTTTACGACCATACTAATTGGACCGGTTAACCACGACGTATGGTAGACGTCGAAAAGAATATGACATTTGTCACCCGCAGACCTGCTGGTCCGGCTGTAGCTAACAACGAGGTGTGGGATTGTCAATCTCGTATAGATCTATACACAAACTCACGCTCTCCCTTCAGGAGACTCTGGTCGTAAGGGTAGACTTTCACTGGTACTTATATGAGTACTCAAAGACGTGTCTCATAAGCTGGATTAACGACTTTACAAGTAATAATGTGGAAAACCCTTTTTATATTTAACAGATAAGTTCATAAAAAGATCATTTTGTTCTTTAAGTTAAGCTTATTAAAGTTTATAAGCTTATTTCTATGTTCTATTCACAGTTTCATGTTCTACATACAATTTATTGTTACAAAGACATAATAAGCAGTTTATATTTTAAAACACAATATTTCTTGTATTTTACTTGTATCCCACCCTTAAAAGCATTTAAAACCATTTAAAAGATTGATTATAGGGGTATGAACTCACCTTATGTGGGTGATTCAAATGAAGATTCGCGTAAGGATGAGAAGTTCCACAAATGAAGTCCCGAGACACAAACGAGTCCTAAATGACATATAATGGCATATATAGGCATGAAATTAGTGTTTACAATCCACTAACTTGTAAGGAAACAAACTTAGGGACTAGGAAACACTCTCAATGAAGTGTTAGAATCAAATGTGATTGTATGAAAGGGTGTTTACGGCCACACATAAAGTGTTTACGGCCCAAGGCTTGATCCTATGAAGGGTTTACGGCCAAGGGAGGGTTTACGGCCCAAGATCCTTTGAAGGGTTTACGGCCCTTATGAAGGGTTTACGGCTCTAAACCCTTCAAGATCTTGAAGATGGTGTCTAAGGGTGATGAATCAAGGCTAGAACAAAGGGTAGTTCACGGCTAAGAAGATAAGAAGTGAAGGAAAATGGAAAAAACTCCTATATATGCTAAGGGTTCACGGCTAGAAGAGTGTTCACGGCCGTGAACCTCATGTGTTGGGTTTTCTGGTTCAGGTGCAGCCTTCTGATCTCGATCTAATACTTCAACACACTCAATCCTTAAAGTGTACTAGGCTTAGAACTCATTAGAATGACCCTTAACAAGGCTAAAAGGCAATAGAAATAAGTCTGACTTTTGGAGGATTGGATTGACCTTACAAGATAGAAATTTACGGGTTTTCACATGGAGGGAGAGCGAGAGTTTGTGTATAGATCTATACGGGGTTGACACCCCACACCCGAGCTGTTCGCTACAGTTAGACTAGGCCAGTCTAGGGTGACAAACCTTACCTTAAACAAGTCGGCGTCTGAAAAACGTCATGACAGGCGGATCAGTCATTATCAAGTATGGTTATAACGACTCACATAGAGGAATTAACACCATTATAAAATTTACGGAAAACAATTTTTGTTGATAACACGGTAACATACACGCACTGGTACTCAGCCTCGAGTGTTGAGATCACCACGTTTTCATAAGCAGACAACATCGGGTTGTTTGGGATCATTCACTTTATACTCTTACAAACATTAACACACATACATTAATACAAGATCAGACACAAACATTTCAAACCATTTTTCGGAAAATATCGGATTTTCTGGCAGTTACAAAGTAATACAAAACATTTTACTCAAACATGCTTATGAACTCACCAACATTATATATGTTGACATTTTAAATTAACTTGTATTCTCAGGAAATTGTTGAGCATGTTGGTCAGCAAGAATACCTGGATATTTTGTTATGTTTTGTTATCATCATACTTTGGATATTTTGGCATGTAATATTGAAATACAATACTTGATGTAAACCAATGACAATTGTAATATTACATGTTTGAGGATGATGATGGTTATGTTTCAAATATATACAATGTGATGATACTACAAGAATGAAGGCACTCAAGCCCCCAGACGTTTCCGCCGTCTGGTTCGGGGGTGTGACAACCAGTACCGTACCAAATATACTTGGTATGTTTGGCTACCAACAAATTTGGTTGGTACAAATTGGTAATGGTATATACAAACTTTTTTTTTTAATTTTCTATTGTAATATTTAAAATTAAGCAACGACATTGGGTAATTTTAACATTTAGTATAGATCTTAGTTACGTAGTTCTTTTAATTTACAAAAGAATTTTATTAAAGTAACGCTAAAGTAACGTTTTCATTTTGTGTTTTAACATGGTAATAACTATTGACTAATGCGACCAAATGAATTATATAATGTTCTTAAAACTGTAAACACTAAACACAACTAATAGTTGAAATATACGATTTTGTTTATATATATATATATATATATAATAATAATAATAATAATAATAATAAATGAATTAGTTGGTATGTTATTACCATGATATTCTAACTTTTGTATCATTACCGTACTAACATTGCTCAATTGGTACGGTACTACCAACCAAACAGGTTGGCTACCAAATATATTGACTACCAACTTTCTTGGTTTGGTTGGTAACATGTTGGTTGGTTTTCCATGATACAATTTTTTCAGCCCTACTTTAAATCATCTTAAAAATTTATTTTTTGTTTGCTAAAAATTTTACATACTCTACGTTTTTTTTTAATTATATAGAGATTGAAGAGGCAATAGAGGAACAAGGTAAAAGGAATGTAAAAATGCCAATTGAAGTTTAATTGTTGTTTGATAGATTATTTGTTTTGGTATAAGGGTAATTTGGTTATTTAGTATAATGATATTTTGCGTGTAATTCAACTTGTTTCAAGTTTTAATATTGGTTAATTAGTACATTTATATTTAACAAATTGGTGTTTATTACTCTATGGAAAAAATAGTTTTATTTATTTATTATTTTTTTTTTTTTGCAAAATGGTTATTTTTTGTGTATGTGTCCATGGTCATTTTAACATTAATCTACTAACACAAATACCAATCTACATTCCATTACCATCCAAAAGATTGATTTCTTACAACACAACCTTCCATTAGAATTGCATTAACTTGATGTCTTACATACACCTACATTCAACAAAATGAAACCAAAACCCCATTTCCATTACCATCCAAAATCTATTGCACTAGTTACATGCTTACAAAAGACACCGACACCAAACACCACAACCATTTTACTACTTAACATAAAACCAAGAAAAGAATACCCATGAACAAAATAACATCAGTTAGTAGTTCCATACTACTGCATGTGCAATCACAAGACTCTCCTCCAATCGATTCATTGATCTAAGCAAACCTGGAATTACCACCATTGCCCTAGGGTACATCGGACGGTCAACCCACCCAAGGAACCCACATCTCTAGTTAAGTGTGAATAGCTCCAAAATTGCCTACCATGGTTACAATTGGTCCAAAATGTCACCTTCATTGCTTCAATTCCAAAACGACAAATCACCATCTTCAATTTCTTGATAGTCTTGAGGTTGTAGCAATGTACAAGAGGAGAAGAGGGGTTTTTTTGAAAGTCATGGGAGACATGCATTTGCTTATAAAGAAGGAATGTTACAAGCAAAATGACGTATATGCACTCACCTTATTTACCGAGATGGAACTTAACGGCCCAAAAGTGACGGAGTAAGTAAAAAGGACTATATGTCAAAAGTTTTTAAACCACAAAGATATTCTATAAAGTTTTTTTTAAAGTTAGGGACTAAATCCTAGATTTTAGGAGACCATAGGGACCATTTATGAAGTTTCGCCTAAAAACAATAATAAAAAATAAACAAAATTACATAAATGGTCCCTACGGCAAGAACAAATTACATAAATGGTCCATATGTTAGTAAGGACAAATATATAATTTCACATGAGATTTAACCAAAAAAGTTAACAGCCAAAAGACATTCCTTGTTCGTTTTAAATGTGAAAGGACCCCATGTCCAAAATTCCCCAAAAGGACCTACATCGGTCTTTTTTATCAACCATAGGGACCAAATATGTAAATTTGTCAAAACCAAATTGTCAAAACAAAATAATCATATCACCTATACAGTACATTCATAAAGTGCATAAAGAAATGACAGAATCGTCCTTCCCCGACAAATGTAACATGATTGAGCTACTTCATTATGCATGCCTATTGCCTGTTCGTGAATAGTTAGTATTTTTGTTCCTTCTCTAATCAATTAAAGATCATAAATGAAATTATTCAAATAAACAAAACAAAACAAAAAAAGAAAAAGAAAAAGAAAAACAGCATTAGCAAAATAATTGATCATTTGTCGTCGGTGAAAAAAAAAGAAAAACAGCATTAGCAAAATAATTGATCATTTGTCGTCGGTGAACGATCTTTGAATGAGTATCACCTTCTTGCCCATCACATCAACTTCCACGGACTCCATACCTACAACAATTTTATCTCACGATGTTAACTTCATAGAATTCTAAAATCATTATCTATGATTTAGAACACTTCGCTATTGTCATTGGTTGATATCGGACTCTTCAGGTAATGTACATGCCTTCGTCTCAGTTATAAATTTTGATTTCATATTCTCGTGCTTCTAAAAATAATAACGTACTAATTAATTCTCACATCCTACCTTCCATTTTTGACATTTCTTCTGCTACCATGATTCTGCATTTCACACATCGTACATCGGCTGAAATTTCAATTTCTCCAACCTATTCAACGGACACCGTTTATGGTTTGAGAAAAATAGAACATAATGTGTAAACATGAAAATGAAATTTCTACTACGAATAGCTTGAAACAAGACTGGCAATCTAATTTTGAAGAATTAGAGAAAGACTTACCAGAGATCGAGATTTGGGAGGAACTAGCAAAGCCTTAGGCTTTGGACTTCTCAAACGAGCTACTTCTTTCCTTGCCCATGAAACCAAGACACTCATTTTCTTAAGCTTTGTAATTTGTATGGAGCACCAAGGTTTTGTTTCAAAAGATTAGCAGTTAAAGAATAATCTTTGAGGTGAAATAATTTATATCGTATTCTTTATATTGATGGAGATGTTCCATCTTTTCCTACTATATTTTTTTATAATAAATTAAAAATAATCCAACCATTTTAAAAGTGCCAAACATACCATCACAACAACACGATATAAAGGGTTGATGTAATAGCAACCCAACCGGCTATGACTATTCGTTTTTTTATTTTTATTTGATAGGTCAATCAACTATTTGTTTTGATTGTTTTTGTTAAATAAACATTATGGTTAGGGCTGAGGTACGATGACTATTTAATATATTATTGTATAATATAGGGACCTCTTTGTATATTTATATTATAGGCATCCCTACATAAAATGGATTTCTATAATATTCAACATAGTATTGTTATACCTACCCTGCAATTATTATTTTTTAGGTAGATAACAAAAACCAAAACCTAGACATAGCATTCCGCGCCACCGAAACCTAGGCATAGTATTTCGTGCTTGTGAGCTGGAAAGCTTCAAAAATCCGAGTGCACATAGGGAGATTCGAATTCTGAACCTCCGGACAACAACACACATTAGCTTTAAGCACTTTACCACTGAGCTGGAACCCTTTTTTGTTTAATTAAATCAAATCGTTCTATATAACCTATAAAGAATAATAAAAATAAACATAATAAAAAAAATAAACATAATAAAAAAAATAATAAAAAAATAATAATAATTATTATTATTATTATTATTGCCGCCGTCTTATTATTATTATGGTTTGTATTGTATGAATATGCATAAATACATATCGTATACATATAAATATGAAATAAATATATATGTATACTTAATAATATGTACAAATACACCTAGTACGTTATGTCTTTTATAAATATAAACTAATAAAACATTAAAAATATATTCAGACGTCAAACATTTTTTTGTTTAAATCTTTTGTTCAATTAAAATTAAAGATTTTTTTTAACTATATAAAAAAGTTTAAAGATTTTTTGGTTATACAAATAAACAAAACGTCATATTTTTTTTTAAAACAAAAGTCATATTTTTTAAATTCGTCGTTTGAAACAGAATACAAAAACATAATAATTACGTCAACAATGTTTTTTTATGTTAAATAATGTCTTCAAACAAAATGTCAAAAAAAATATATTTTTAAATCATAAAAACAAAGGTAAATAAATAAAAAAAAACAAGATTAATAAAAGAAAAAATAAATAAACTAGTATATATTAAAAGAAAATAAAAAAAACATAATCATTACATAATCATTAGTTATTTAAGGAAAAAAAAAGTAAAATGTAATTATTAGGAGTAGGGTTAAGTGGAAAGAGGGTAGGAATAATTGCAGCCTATTCAACATGGTATAAGCTTACATTATTAGGTTCCGGTTCTAATTATTTTTACCATAACCCTTGTTTTTTTATCCTCCCGACCGCCACACACCTTTTACCATTCTTCCATTACTTTCGGCTGTAGTCTACGACCTCAACTCTAGCACTCAGTAACACTGCAACGCAACCTCCATTGCTGCTAGTGCCATTATCACTGTCATCCTCTTCTTCTTATTGGGGATTGGTTCATTGAATCATTACTATCCTTCTACCTACGTTTAACCTTCTACTCATTATTTTATGTTTCATTTATAATTTATTTTTTGGATTTTTCTTGAGAATCATATGACATTTGTGGCTTCTGGAAGCACCAACATGAGTTACAATCCTACCTTTGCTCAACTGGTCTTTGCTATAACAAATGTGTACTCTTAGTTCAACTTTAAATCATCTATTGATGGCTCCAAGTACAAACTATGACACATAAATTTTCTTGATATGTGCACATGTGTCAACGTTCATGGTCACATTGCTGGTATATCCAAACCTACAAGCGATGGTGATGAAAATTGGGCTGCCATTAACCCCATAATTAAATCATGGTTTTATTCTACATGTAATGCCAATTTCCTACATATCATAGTTAATGATCATTATACATCCAATGATTTATGGGACAAACTGTATGAATTCTTCCTCAAAAAGAAGATGCCAAGCATGCTTCAACTTTAAGAGCAATTTCACAACATAAAAAAGGCCTATTTCTACTATTGACGTCTGTCATTCTCTCTAGAACTTGGTTGATGCTTTGGCTGATT